CAGGTTGCAGGCAGATTGTACTATGATTTCCATTGAAAATCTAAAATATTCAGATAATACATGATCAGCTTGACACAGTAAATAGTACCTGTTGTTCGCCACTCAAGAGACTGCACGACTTCTCCCAACCGCGTACTCAGTGTGTCATATACATTTCCATTTTCTTCGACGTATTTGTTGAGCAATAGATTATCGGTTGGATCGTTGTCTTCTAGAGTTCCTTGTTGCTTATCCTTTCCGGCCGGTTATCTGATAGTCAGAATCGAGCAAGCGAAGAAAGCTGCTGATGAAAGTCTTCAGTAGCCTGTTCGAGGGTGCATGTTAACATCTCTAAACCATGCATAGAAGCACTGACTGAATTTATATTAATTAGTGTTGGAAATCCGAATGTTGTTCTTTATATGCTGAGTGCAGCAGATTTTCTAGCTCTCGTGGCCTACAGGGATAATGTTTTGTGCGTTGGTGGTACAGAGATAGAATGCGCGCCAGCTACTTATGTAGTTTGGAGTTCGGTCCCCGGCCGATGCACTCCTTTACTTCGTTAAGTCAGTTATAAGACGGGCAAAGAGGAAAGGTTGGGCAGAAGGCGAGAAACTCCATCCCGTAAAAAGAAACACTACTGCTATCAAAACTTCTAGCCTCTAGCTTGAAGCCTTATGTTCCACTGGGAATGTAAAAAGAATGGAAAAAAACCAAGATTTTCACACCGACTTCAGATTAATGAATGTCTATCTTGCCTTTCCACTCCTAGCTGGCGTTGGCATTTTCATCTGTGTCACCTCCTCTTGTAGTTGAAATGGCCACTGATTAGACAAAACTGAAAGAGGTAACTCCGCTTAGTGTTGTTATCTATTTTTTATCTTATCAGTATGCATATTGTTATCTCCACTTCTGACAAGACTTGTTTGTGATATTATTTTGATAGACGTCCTCCAACCAATCAAACAAAACCTTTACACAACCAATACTTGAAAATTAATCTGACGCTCATTAGAGACTGGCCATATTCAGGCAGTTAACCGGGGGTTCTATGGGGGAGGCCGTGATCAGTAGGCTACAGCAGGTTGAAGATGAGGCAGTAGCTCATCGAAGAAGACATTGCGGAGTGGTTGCGCTATGTCATAAATTGGCAGAAGTTGGAATTCATGAGATAGCCATTGGATCGGGTCCCAGTGGCTTAATGGTTTACGAGCTAGCTCGCCTTGTAAGCGCAAGGTCCTGGGTTGGAACCCTAACAATGAGTGCGTACTGATAAAGAGTCCCAAACTAGGACGAATCATTTGTCCAGTATTCTCTGCAGGTTTTCCAATGGTTCTGTAACTGATGTCAGCTCATGATGAAATCATCCAACCAATCAAACAAAATCCCTACAAAAACCAATACTTGAAAATAAAATATCTCACTAGAATGTTGTGTGTGTATGTGTATGTGATGTGTATTATAACTCGCATTTATCTCTCTTGTATTCAACTTCTAAGTTAGTTTGTCTGTCACAACCTATTCAGTTTTTCATTAAGATGAATACACGTATCCAAGTTTCAGTTCAAACTTATTGTTTACATACATATATATCTTATATTTCTGCGTCGTTTGAAAGCGTATATCAATCACATTCCGAAGCGGGTGTTTCTTTTGTCATGAAAAGTCTCTTTATAAACCTTTTCTTCACATTTTCTATACACTTCTATTTGTTTAGTGAGAGTATATAAATAAGTTAGGTACGAAATTACATTCCCCGCCAAAAAAGGATTGTCAACAAAATACAAGACAGAAAACGATGTCTGTTTATACAAAACTTGTCTAAATCACTCACTGTGCTGTACTCCTCTGATTTCATTTGGGTTAATATTATTATCATTATTATTATTATTCTGTTTTTGTAAGTAAGAAGCGGCTTTCAGACTTTTCCCCGTCATTTCTCCATTTTAGAATAAATCTTACTGCATATTCGTTATGCACCTTGTGCTTTTATACGCTGTCAATACTTGTTGCTATATGGAATCAGTGTCATGGTAGTTAGTGGGTTGTATGCGGGATGAAAGTAGGTGTAAATACACTATCGGTTGTACATCTTGTTTGTTTTTCTGGAGAGAAGAAATATTTGTTTTGTTTTTTTCTCTCTGGTAAATAGTCGGAAATCGTTTCCGGCGTTACAATCCAACTTTTCAGCCTTGTTAGTAGACTTCATCTAATCGTTTTGTTGTTGCGTTTTTATTTTGTATGTTCATAGAAAATGTGTGAAATAAAAGAGAGACGCAAAGTGGCAGTGGTTGGATTTTATTCTGCACTGCTTTTAAGAGACCTAATTGATACGTTCAAACTTGATTTTAAGAATTTAAATTTAATCGATAGAATACCAATGAAAGGTATTCAGAAATCCTTCAGATTTGCTTAGATTTGATCAATAATTATGCTGAATGGTTGTATATTTTCATATATCATACCTAAACATAAGAATAATATCGTGACAATATGATTATGTTTTCCATAGTTTGTTTGTAAAGGTTAGTTTTGTTTGAGGATAGATGTCCCACCGATGACATTGGTTGGGGTCGCGCTAAATCACGAATTGGTGGAAGTTAGACTTCATGAGCCATTGAATCGGGTCCCAGTGACTGAATGGTATACGAGCTTGCCTTGTAACCGGAAGGTCCTGGATTTGAACGCCACTGGATGCGTAGTCCAGTACTCCCTGGACTTCAATGGTTCTCTAACTGATATCAATCCGTGATCAACTCCTAAAAGTATGATTATGAACAATAAATTATCTTAAATAAACTCCCATGTTAACGAATAGTATAACGAAAGAGCATTCATGGCTGTCTGAGCAGCCTTCCCAACTACATACATTGTACGTACATTACCCATTCTTATTCTTGCTTTCATGGGAGGAAGACACTTCGACTGACTGGCTTCCGGAACACTTTCACCAGCCCGATATGTCATTTCGCTTCTCCGATTCTAGAGTTAAATAAGATTGTGTTTGATATTTTTTGTATTTTTCATATTTTTCTTGTGCGTTGAAGTTCCTTTAGCAGTTTGAATGGTTTTGTAAGGTAGAGTCGCTAGCCGCTACCCTCCCTCTTTACCTCAGCTTGAGACTGGCTAGAAAACTAGCGAGGTTTATGTTATTTACTATTATTTTCATGTTTAATGTCACACAAAATCGAAGACATGAAGGCGAAAATCAACCAACTGACTGAAGAGCCTAGCAGCCAGAGAAGACAGGACTCAAGGTGAACATAGAGAAGACAGACGGAGGTGATGAAGATAACTAACCATTAGCAACAACAACCAGCACCAATCACCATCAACAGGAGAGATTTAACAGAGGTTACTTCCTTCATTTATCTGAACAGGAAGCACCGTTTCAACTACAGGTGGATGGCGTGGATGAAAATGTCAAAGCCAGCCAGAATCGGGAAGGCAAGATACGCCTTCATCAACCTGAAACCAGTTTGGAAATCTTCTGCACTCCGCCTCAGCCAGCATGAAGAACAAGATTGGGATTTTCAACACAAGTGTTAAATCCCTTAGTTCTCCTATACGGGTCAGAAATTTGGCCATCTTATCACGAAAACCATTTGCAAACAACAAACTACTTCAGACCTTATCAACAGCCTCCATCGCTGGTTCCATACTGAAGGTCAAACTGCCAGCCAGCCGGCCAGAAATAATCAGCGACAAGAATCTCTGCAGTGAAACAAACCAACCAAGAGGTTATCGTTCAGCAATTATGTAGTAGAAAACGGAGGTGGATTGATGGAGCGTACATTGAGGAGGCCATCGAATGATATTGCGTTCAATGCAGACCATCACTGGAGTGGAATCCTGATGGGAAACTAAGATTGGGTCATCGGTGCGAGGGTGATATGGAGGATATGAGAGATTGTGGGCAATCGTGAAGAGGACGGCAGAAAATAGAGCAAAGTCGATATGTGTTGTTGAAGCCAGCCCTATGTTCCACTCGGAATCCGGGGGAACAATAGTAATAATTCTTGACTGTCAGATGATCAGATGTAAAAGTGTGTTAGTTCAACGTTGAATAGGTGTACTGTACTGTATTAACTGAGCGATTCCGATATTAATTTGTTTATTGGATATATCATATACACAGTCAAAAAGTATTATTTACTGAATGATGAGGTTTCGAACACGATTAGCTATTTCAAACTTGATCAGGGATTTATATCAGTTAGAAAACCTATGAAAACCAGGGACTGCTGGACAGCTGTTTTATCAGCCTAGTTTAGGACTCATTGGCAGTACAACTCAAGCTCGTAGACCATGCAACCACTTGGACCCGACTCATTGGTCAGCCCATGAAATCTAACCGCTGCCAATTCGTGATTTTAGCTCAGCTGACGCTAGCCAATATCATCAGTGTCGAATATTTTCCCTCACCCTCGATCAGGTCTACTCCACTGATCACGACATCTGGATAGAAGTCCAGGGAAATTCGTTCTGTATCCAGTCACTAGTATGCATCAGACTAATTTTCAAGTTAACATTCTGCTGATGAGTCTCAGACTAGGATGAAACAGCTGTTGGTTGATTTTCAATGTTTCTCCAACTGATATCAGTCTGTGATCAGACTTGAAACAAATCGAATACCTACATAATCATATCAATTGTTACTCTACACAACTTTTAATTTTAAATTTTACAGTTGTTATTCTTTCTAACTCTTTCAACACATATATTAACTGAGTAATTCTTCAACACTGTCTTTTTGATTACTCAGTAATTACGAGGTATCCTTAAACCTTAAATTGACATTAATGATAAGTAATGCCAACTAGTTTGCTTAAGATGCGAATATTTCCTTTTTGACTACTTGTCTTCATACCTTTCTTGTTTAAATGCTGTATTTTTTTTAGAATTAGTTGTTTTAAAGCATATAAAACTTCGAACATTGAAAGGCGCGGCAACTTTGATTACTGTCTATTTAAAACTAATTTAACGATATTTATTTTATTTTTATTTGTTATTTTTTTTAGTGTATGGAAGTACATGTATTTATTTGTAGAAAATGGATGCCTAAACATTGCGGTGATACAGTTAACTGGCCATGTTATACAGAAGAAATGCATCCATTTTGGTTTCCGTTGACAACCGACAAGGATACTACAGTAGATACAAAACACTTACCTTATAATCATATGTGGCCTGATGATAAAATATGGCTTCGTTATATACTTCAAGGAAATCTTCTTCTTGGCTGGTTTCATTTTACTCAAATTCCCCATTTGTCTAATGTATCCAGTCAAAATTTGACGGACTGTTCAACGGAGACAAGAGGTCTTCTTATTGATCCATATGAAGTACCAGCTTATCACTTGGATATATTTACTGATAAGAATGAAATAGCATCGAATGGAGATGTAAGTCTGTTTAAATTTATTTTTAAACTAGAATTTAATTATTTAGATATAGAGGAGTTTTATGCACCTGATCGCAATTAATTTTGAGGTTCGTAGCTTAAGTGTTCTAGTCATATATGCTCTCATACCAATAGCATGCAAATTTATTATTATTATTCCCTTGGGTTCCGAGTGGAACATAGGGCTGGCTTCAACAACACATCTCCACCTTCTTCTATTTTCTGCCGTCCTTTTCAGCTGACTAGCTTCATGATTGCCCATGATTTATCATCTCCATCACTCCACACTATCTCCTCTATGTTACCCTCCCATCGATGACCCACTCGTCACTTCCCATGGGAATTCCAATCGAGCAATGGCCTGCACTGAGCGCGATGTCATTCGACGGCCTCCTTAACGTATGCCCGATCAATCCATCTCCATTTTCTCCTAAATATTAGTTAAGCAATCGGTTCTTGCCTGTTAGTTTGTTCCAAGCTAGCCAGAGTTTCTTCGTACTAACTCTTTCTGGTTGGTCATTTGATTTTCAGTATGGAGCCAGCCAGCGAAGTGGGAAGCTGTTGGTTAAAGTTTAAAGTAGCCTCTTGGAAATGGTTTTTGTGACACGATCGCCAAGTTTCTGACCCGTGTAGAAGAAATGACTGGCTGACTTCACATTTGCATTGAGAATCCGAATCTCGTTCTTAATGCTGTCTGAGTTCAGGGCAGAGGACATCCAAACTGGTTTCAGGATGATGAAGACGTTTCTTGCCTTTCCGATTCTGGCTGGCTGGTTGTCTTTGACATATTCATCTGGTCCACCGACCTGTGGTTAAAACCGTGCTTCCTGTCGTGATGAGTGAAGGAAGTAACCTCTGTTAAATCTCTCCTGTTGATGGTGGTTGGTGCTGATTGTTGTTGTTGCTGTTGGTGGTGGTGTTGGTTGGCTGTTCGGTAATCTTGGTCACCTCCGTCCGTCTTCTTTGTGTTCACCTGGGGTCCTGTCTTCTCTGGCTGCTAAGCTGTTCAGCCAGTCTGTCGGTTTTCGCCTGCAAGTCTTCAGGTTTTTTGTCAAATTAAATGGAAATCATTCATACGCTAAACCTACATCTGCTAGAGTCTTATTATCGGTCGTTCAGCGTATTTCTGCCTCCTCGCTCCCTGTGCACAGTGTGATACATAATCCAGTCCACCAAAATTAGGAATATCATCATGGGTGATAATCGTCAGCCAGCTTGTCTTACTCCTGTATTCACTTCAAACGCTTCACTGAGTTTTCCGTTGTGAATCACCTGACACATGGCCTCGTTGTCATATAGCCAGCAGTTGAATGAGGTTGATAAAGACTTGCGCACTGCACGCTGTGGTGTTGAAGCAGTTTCCAAATTACTTCTCAGTCAACGCTGTCTGTTGAAGGCCTTTTCGTAGTCAACGAAGCTGTTGAGGTAGAATGAGAGTTGACACCCATTCTATGCTTTTTTGTGTAGTGACGATGCGCTGAGTTTAAATTTGATCAGCACCTAGAATGCAAATACTTCTAATCTGTCATCTAGATGTCATGAATTATTTAAGTATTTAATCAGAGTGTGGAATTTTTGGCGGCTTTATTCACCCACCTCCACTTTGTTTTATACGACAAAACACACATTCAGTTTTGGAAGCCTACAGACAGAAATGTCATCAGACCAGAATCTATAGTAGGTGCAAAAATTGACAACTAGATGATTGCTAGCACCAGTGGACAACTAAGCTCATCATGACTGCATATGACCCCCATGACGTGTATCATGATGTGAATATTTTAGGTTTACAAAGTATATCAGTAAAATTTTGCCTCAAAATGATTCATTTACAAACTGTTAATTGCGTTCTATTACCAGTCTACCAAAGTAGCTAGGCCTAGAATAAAGTGTTTAGAATTTCTGTAAATTGACTCGACTAAAGTACATGACAGAGGGCTCGACCTTGGCTGAACAGAACGTGTTTAAAAGTCCGTACTCTGGTTGACCAGCATTATTGGTTGACGTGAGCACTCTTCAACTGCTGATACCAATCAAGAGTACTAACTGTACCTAATTACATCTGAAGGAATACAATGTTTAATAAAATAATGCTGTTTTTTGACAATATTCATGTTCACAGTTAAACGTAACTTAGCTGTAGTGAGCGGTTTCATCACACCAGTGGTATGTTTATGAGCAATCAATTGCGCATAGAACGTTGTGTATCGCTATGCGTTATAATCGAATAAACTTATCTAACATGGGATCAGATGACATGTGCCTTTCCTTTCTAAAAACAGTAAAACGCTGAGGGAAAAATCGATAAAATTAGTCAGTAGGCTTTGTCTTGTTATACAGTTAGGATTTCGGAAATCCTGTGCATCTTATTCAACAGTATACATTTAAAGGGGATTCATAGATGTTCCCTAACCTGAGCACCATCGTTTCAACTAGAGGTAACACAGGTGAAGAAGTTAAAACCAGTCAGTTCGGAAGGCGAAAGCAAAACAGTCTCTTGTCATTCTGAAATCAGTATGCAGATCCAAAGTAATTCGTACAACGAATAAGATACGAAATTAAATCACAAGTATTAAATTAGTGCACGCGCATCAAGGAAATCATTTCCAATAGGCTACTGTGGACGTTCATCAGCATATGCTTTCTTTGACTTCATACGGAAGGCTGAACAACCTATCGAAAGCAACAAGCAACTCTGGCAGTGAACTAGCTAATTACATAATACTCAACAAATATGCAAAAAAATTGAGATGGATTGCACAGACACATAAAACAGACCTTTGAATGGTATCAAGTGTCAACTCATCGCTCCAGTAAATCCCGAATTGGGAGGCAAAGAGTTGGCAGTGTGTTCAAGGATGACATGAAAGAGATCATGTAAAGAAGAAATGCAAGCTTGTGGATAGTCCTAGAACCAACTAAAACAAATTGTAAAGAACAGGGTCAAATGGTGACGTGATGCTGAAGTCCTGCTTTCCACTTATAAACCAAGGGAGCCTAAGCTAATCAATAGCATCTACCGGACCAACTTTGTCACTGACCTTGAACAACCAGTCAGAATGAAGGAACAATGTATTCTCAGAATTGGTAAAAGATGACTATGGACCATGGAGTTCTGAGATCCATCTCCACTCCTATTTCTGTTCTTTAATCTACCCAGGAATCCCACTTCCTCAACATGATCAGTTTTCGCCTCAAGCTTTCTTCACAAACGCATGCTTTAGTAACTTCAATTAGTCCATTATTCACACAGTAATCAAGCACTTCTCAGTCTTCCTGGAACTCGTTGAGCAAGACGGTATAATTCGTCTTGATTAAACCACCAATAACTCTGAGTCATTGTTCAAGGTCAAGGGCGTGTACTGAGGGGGCTGCCACAGTTAAACGTCGCTCCCAAGGGATGAATAACAAGAAATTATAGTGGATGTAGTAGAACTTGGATTGTTACATTGAAACGAAACCTACACATGTGAAGATATAGGTCATCCTGTCAACTAATTATGAGATCTTTGGAATTACTGATTAATATCTTTTGAAGATTCCAACTTATGCCAATTGTTACAGATAGAGATGTATTCATGCTTTTAGGATTTTTACTATCTGAAATATTTTGCTTAACATCACGTCTCCGATTTCGCGTTTAAAAAAAATTTAAATTGTACTAATCCTATCAATATTTTTGATTTCCTTGTGTAAAACACAGGTGAGTTTTCAAGGTTTGCATTTGTTGGTTGTTGAAGGACATGCTTATTATATAAGATTTTTTTGAACAAAGCTTGATTCCACACTGTATTTTGGGTACAAGTATGCGATTTTCAGCATGTGATATCGGTAGCCCAAATTTTGCAGGCCGACCATAGATATCGGGTGTGCGTCGGCGGGGGCTTGAACTCCGGACCATGTGCATGGTCGGCGAGAGTCCCAACCGCTGTGTCACCGACCTTGACCAGCACACAGATATACAAATTACAGGAAAAATCAAAGCAACCGAACTGATATCTGTTTTCACGTTTAAGTAGACTGAAAAATAGGAAATGCAACTATTGCTTAAAAAATAATTTTCTGACTTTTGAAAAATCTAGAAAGACAGTCACTGTTTCTTCTCAGACTATCCCATTTTCATACATATGGCAGCTGTATATGTGAGACACAGAATTTTTAAAATACACTTCGTTGTGAACCAACATTAGGAGAAAAACTATTGAAAATTAGGGAGCACTGGACGGCAGTCTAATCTTAGTTTGGGACACCTCACTGGTGTGCACTCAAGTTATGATACGCGTCTGTCGATTATTCAGCCACTAGGCTGGAACTTTACCATCCGGAAATTTTCATTTCTGCTCTCTGATGGAGTTGGAAATCGGTGGCACTATATCTTGAGCTAACTGAAATAAGAAATCACGGGTTGTTGAGTTCCAGCCAGGTGGCTGAATATTTACAGATGCACCTCTCAGCTTGAAGGTTGTGTGCTCTATCCCCGGAGGGGTTGTGGGTGTTCACATCTAAAGAGTACCTAACCAAGACAAGACTGATATCCATTGCCCACTGATTTTCACTATTTCTCTAACTTATGTCAGTTTGAGGTGGAATCCGTCTTGTAGCCAATCGAATCTCTACAGTTCAACACTAGAAAAGTTCTCCTTAGTTGATAAACGAACCTAAATCCATCAACATATTTACTTTTAACGCAATGATACCATTAATAAACAACAGTTCTTTTTTATTTCAGTGACAAGCTGTTGGTTGGTTCATTTTATTTTCTCATGATTCACTGCTTAATAAAGACTAGGTTTATTTGACAGTTAACTGTTTTGTTGAGTTTTATCATGTGCTACTCAAAACCAAATAGGGAGTAGACAGGATTCTACGGAACTATTCACATCGTACACTTTCAGTGTAGGTTGAAACTTGTGCACAAATAATTTTGTGTATTGTAATAGCCTGATAACAGTACATCTTTCAAAATATAGTTTAGTAGAAGTCTTTTGGTGGGTGGCGACTAACTGTGGAATCCAGGATATACCTGCATTCCGGAGTCCCAAATAGAGCGAAATGCACATCCTGTATTCCACTGCTAGTCACCACCCACTAATTAACTTCTGATTACATACCCAGACATCGTCGAAGCATCTGCACAACCCTGTCAACCTGAAACCGAGCACTTCTGCGCAATCAATCGACGGAAAAATCTAACATTAAATTAAAATAAGAATATATATGCAAGTTGAGTTGCTTAATCTAGTTCAGTAGAGCTCAACTAAAATTAAAATTGAACAAAAGTCAAATTAACAACAGTGGTAATAAGGCGTAGAGGTTTCATATGGGGTGTGGGGAGAGATATTATACAATTAAGAAACAAACAAGCAAAAGAAAGACAAAGCGAAAACTACGTATTCAAGTATTAGTTTGTAGGGATTTGATTGATTGGATACAGTATTTCATGATATGCTAATATCGGTTGGAGAACCATTGGAAAACCTGGGAGTACTAGATAGCTGTTTCGTCCTAGCTTGGGACTCTTCAGCAGTACTCATTTGGTGCTAAGATAGATCACGTCCATTGTAGATTTAATGACAGAACAAACTTCTTTTGTATGCAGAGTTCAGATTTAAGTATGTGAATCGCCATCGCTTCTTTGTATTGGACAAATTTGAGTCGTACCCTTTTAGTAAGTTCCCCACATGTTCTGTAGTTGACTTTGAAGCTACATTGTGGGTTAGCTTGGAGCTAACCTGACCCAACCAGGTGTTCCAGAATACAGCTTCGGTGAGGGACCTATTTTCCCCTTTATAAAACCATGAAGGTAAGTGTTGGATAATACGTTTGGATAGCAAGTGCTGGTTATGGCCGACATACATACCTAGCTCCACACGAGTAGGTGAATTGGTAGATGCACACTGATGAGGCCCAGAATGGTAGCTTCTTTTTTACTTCTAAACCATTATATAAATATTCTCTTTTGCTTTGCCTTCTTTATATAAAATTATAGAACAACTCCGACCACTCCAATCTCCAATGGATTATTGACCAGTTGGGTTTAGATAAATGTGATGAGAAGTTGAAATTATGGATGAATTCGTCATTAAATCAAGTATCTGTTATGCCTATGTCTACGTCATCTATGCTTATAAAAACTCTAAGCTATCCATTGAAAGACAATACTAATTTGATAGAGAAATAAATGAATAACGTTTTGATAAAAAAAATAAATTGAAATTGGAAAAGTCAAACGATTTGTTTTCTCTCTCTCCTTTTTATTTTAAAGTAAATACAGAATAAGAATAATGATGTATGAATAAAATAAATGATTAAATAGGGAAATTTACCATGCCTTAATGATTCATTCTTTTTATAATGATTTTTAAAACGAGGTGAGAATTATACTTTCAGTTGCTATTAATCAGAATCTCCACTGAATTTCGAAGCACATAAATGAGAAATAAATATAACACTGATGAACTCAATCCCAAACGAGCTAAACGATCGTCTGGTGTTTAGGTAATCTCAGTCTGGCTAACAAGCACTTCTGGTTGGTATTAGTAGTATAAAACTACTCATCTTGACCAATCAGTAGCATATAGTCTTATGTGATTGTTCGTTTTGTTCAAACTAATTCTTATATGATGACAACAACAATTGATATTATTACTATTATTCTCTTGAGTTCCGAATGGAACAAAGGGCTGGCTTTAACAACACATCTACATTTTCTGACGTCCGCTTCAGCTACCTAGCTCCATGGTTGCCCATAATCCAACTTGTTACACGACCTCCTCAAAGTCACCATCTATGTGACGACCTACTCGTCACTTCCTATTGGAATTCCACACGAGCGATGCCTCGCATTGAGCGCGATGTCACCCCATGGCATCCTCAACGTACCCCCAACCAATTCATCTCCATTTTCTGCTACATATTTGTTGAGCGATCATCTCTTGGTTGGTTTGTTTCCGGAGTTTAGAGTTACTGATTCTTTATGACCGGCCGGTTGGCCAATTGATCTTCAGTATGTAGCCAGTGAATATGGCAGCTGCTGATAAAAGTCTGAAGTAGCCTGTTGGAAATGGTTTTCTTGACACTCAGCGCAAGTGTTCAACCCGTATTGTTTTCTTCCTTTACGTTCCCAGTGGAACTTAGGGGTTCAGTCTAGAGGAGCTGATTAAAGTCAGCATGTTGGGAATGCTTTTTGTGAGGCATAGTATACGCCAAGTCTGTGAATCATACAGAAACACTGACGCGACATAAGCTTGTGGCTTGTGGCACTGTATAGTGTTGAAGCAGCTGTTAAATGGCTTCATGGCTGATGCTGTCGAGGGCCTTCTCAATGTCGATGAGGCTGAAGTACAGAGATGACTGCCATTCTACGCTCTATTGAGTTATAATGACGACGAGTGTCACAATGAGATCTGATTTGCTTTTCCAGTGCAGAGTTTCCCTTCCATCGCATCTTTTGGTCCCTCTCGGATGATGCGGCCTAATATCTTGCTTTGAATCGTCAGAGACATCATGTCGCGTAAGTTGTTGTAAAAGCTTAAGTCACCCTTCTGCGACAGTTTGACGAGGTGGCCCTTATTCCAACCGGTAGGTACTTTTCCTTCCTTCCAAACCTCCTGCAATAATGGAGTGACCTTCTCTGCTGTGGTCTGTAGGTGCGCATTCTGTGCCTCTGGCGAAATTCTATCTGGTCCTGCTGTTTACCCAAGTTTTAGTGACTTCATGGCAATGAAGACTTCCTTTTTATTGTAAGGGTTGGTGTTCACTAGCAGTCCTCTGTTTACGGGTGGTATTTTTTGTCGTCTCAAGTGGTGATCGACTTGACAGTCATTTGAAATGATCTGCCCCTCCTCTCTCCCACCTCTTTGATAATTGGGTTTCCTTCACTATCTTTCACTGGTTTCATCCTCGGTTATCTGATATAATGTCTCGAGGTTTCCTTTCACCTGTAGTCTGTTCTGCTTCAGTTGCCAGCGTGTGATAACGGTGTCTTTTGTCTTTTCTAGGACTTCTATGCTATGCCTGAACCTCGCCTAGATTACTAGGTCACTAGTATTCTAGCCGGTCCCAAGCCCGGATAAAGAGGGAGGGTTGGGGCGTGGTGCTAGCAACTCCACCCCCAAAACTTAACCAAATTGCTACTAAAACTTCAACGCACAAATATATTCAAAATTCTAAAATTACAAATAGTGACCTTATTTTTCGCTGGAATCGGGGAAGTGAAATGACGCGGGCTGGTGAAAGCCTTCGGGAAGCCAGTCAGCCGATGTGCCTTCTTTCGATGAAAGCGAAAATAAGGATGGGGACGTGGAATGTTCGTACAATGTACGAAGCTGGGAAGGCTGCTCAGGTAGCCGGAGAAATGAGGAGATATAGAATAGAAGTGTTGGGAATCTGCGAGAGCAGATGGAACGGATGTGGAAGGAGCCAACTATCAACTGGAGAGACAATAATCTACTCCGGTCACCCAGAGGACAGCCACGAGCACACCGAGGGAGTAGCCATCATGATGTCACCAACAGCGGCTAAAGCTCTCATGCAGTGGGAACCAATCTCCTCCAGGATAATGACAGCCAGGTTCAACTCAAAAGGAAAAAAGGTTACAATCATTCAGTGCTACGCGCCTACAAACGCCTCAGAACATGAGAAGAAGGAGGATTTCTACAGTCAACTACAAATAGTAATGGACAACGTCCCAAAGAGCGATATCAAAATCCTGATGGGCGACATGAATGCGAAACTGGGAGGAGACAATACAGGAAGAGAACTCACCATGGGTCGTGAGGCCCTCGGTGAAATGAACGAAAATGGTGAACTCTTCTCAGACTTCTGCGCCTTCAATGATTTGGTGATTGGTGGCAGTGTGTTCAAACACAGGGATATACACAAGGCAACATGGATTTCACCAGATGGACACACCAAAAATCAGATAGACTTCATTTCAATCTCAAGGAAGTGGAGACTGAGCCTACTGGACACAAGATCGAGGAGAGGAGCAGATGTGGGTTCAGACCACTATCTGGTACAAGGGACTTTCAAGGTGAAGCTGAAAGCCTCGAGGATACCTGGGGATAGGCCACAATGCAAGTTCAACACTCACAAACTGAAGGACACAATCACACAGGACATTTTCACTGCAACTGTCAGAGCAAAGCAGGAAACACTACATGGCACCACTGAGGAATCATCCGTGGAAGACCATTGGAACTCTCTGAAGGTAATTTTCAACGAAACGTGCTCAACGGTTTTAGGAAGAAAGAAGAAACAAGACAAGGAATGGCTCTCAACAGACACTTGGAAACTAATAGAGGAGAGGAGAAAAGTGAAAGAGAAAATGATTCAATGCAAAGATGGACAAGAGAAAGAGACGCTGAACTCAACTTACACAGCACTGGACAAAGAAGTGAAGAAGAGTGCCAGGAAGGACAAAAGACAATTCTACGACAACCTGGCTACTGAAGCTGAGAAGGCAGCAGGCAAAAGGGACCTGAGGACACTATATCAGATAACCAAGTCTCTATCCGGGAAGAGATCAACACAAGTGAAACCTATAAAAGACAGCCAAGGGAACCCAATTACCAAAGAAGAAAGACAGATTAAACAATGGGCGGACCACTTCAAAGGACTCTTGAACCGACCACCACCTACAACCCGTCCAGTAATACCAACAACAGCACGTACACAACTACAAGTTGACACCAACCCTCCAACGAAAACTGAAGTCATGAATGCAATCAAGCTTCTGAAAGCTGGAAAAGCAGCTGGACCAGATGGAATACCCCCGGAAGCACTGAAAGCGGACCCAGAAACGACAGCAGATATGCTGACTCCATTATTGCAAAAGATCTGGAAAGAGGGAAAGGTGCCTACTGACTGGAGGAAAGGTTACCTGGTGAAACTACCAAAGAAGGGCGACCTGGGACTCTGCAAGAACTGGCGAGGAATCATGCTCCTGTCGACGCCAAGTAAAATCCTGAGTCGCATCATCCTGGAGAGAATCAAGGACGCGCTGGATACAGAACTCCGACCAGAACAAGCTGGATTCAGGAAAGGCAAATCATGTTCTGACCAAATTGCAACTCTACGCATTATCATCGAACAAAGCATGGAATGGCAATCAAATCTCTACCTCAACTTCATAGACTTTGAGAAGGCCTTCGACAGCGTTGACCGCGGAGTAATTTGGAAACTACCCAAGTACTACGGCGTACCCCAAATATTCATCAACCTTATTCAACAACTGTACGACAACGGCACATGTCAAGTGATCCACAACGGAAAACTCAGCGAAGCGTTTGGAGTAAACACAGGAGTCAGACAAGGGTGCTTATTATCACCAATGATATTCCTAATTGTGGTGGACTGGATTATGCGTCAGACAGTGGGAAACGAGAAGACAGGGATATCCTGGACCGACGTGAATAACCTAGAAGACCTGGATTTCGCGCGTGGATGATTTATGTTTGATGCCACACAAAATCGAAGACTTACAAGCAAAAACCGACAAACTGGTCGAAGAATCAGCAAAGACAGGACTCCAGGTGAACATAGACAAGACGGAGGTTATGAAAATAACCAACCAACAACAGCAGCAACATCCAGTGTCAATCACCATCAACGGGAGGGATTTGAAAGAGGTCACTTCATTCACTCACTTATCTAGGGAGTATTGTCTCAACCACAGGAGGAACGGACGAGGATGTCAAATCGAGAATCGGGAAGGCGAGAAACACATTCATCAACCTGAAACCAATCTGGAAATCTTCGTCACTCATCCCAGCATCAAAAACAAAATTCGGATTTTCAATACAAACGTGAAGTCAATTTTGCTTTACGGATCAGAAACTTGGCGGGTCACCAAGAATATTTTCAACAGGTTGCAGACCTTTATCAACAACTGTCTTCGCTCCATACTGAAGATTAGATGGCCAGAAAGAATCACAAACAAGAAGCTATGGGAACAAACGAAACAGGAACCAATCGCCCAACAAATATGCAGGAGGAAGTGGAGATGGATTGGACACTTGCTGAGGAGGCCGTTGAGTGACATCGCGCGTCAAGCCCTCGAGTGGAACCCGAAAGGGAAGCGGCGAGTGGGACGTCCAAGGGTGACATGGAGGAGATCGTGTGAGGAGGAGATGAAACAGTATGGAATAACATGGACGCAAGTGAAAAGAACAGCAGAAG